GTAAAAATTGACAATAACTAAATATATCATCAGATTTTTAATCTAATCATTTAAAAGCTTACTATATAATATATTTTAATGGCAGAGCAATAATGATTATTTATTTTAAGTTTAAATTGGCCAAGTTAAATTTGGTGAACAGTTCCTGAACCAATTGAATCAGACATAATTACAATAACCTTTTATATATATTAAAATTTAATTGCAGAAATTAAAATATAAAAATCATTAATTTTTCTTTACTATTTTATATACTTCAAATTCTTCCAATAAATGAACATCCTTATTACTATTCCTAAGATTTAAATTATTTTCATAAGAATAATTAGAAAAATAATAATAACAATAAGGTTGATTATTAATACTAATGAATAGGTGTAAATCATGAAAACTTATAGAATTTTCATAAAATTTTATATTGTCTAAATCCCTATCAATGGTTTGTCTACTATGAAATATTGCATGCCCAGGATTTTTGACTCTACTTAATATTGAATTACCAAGTTGATTTTCATCAATCTTAAAAATAAAACTTTTATCTGTTTCAATAAAATACCTTTCATTTGGTGCTTTTTTGTTTATATTCCAACAAACAGGATTATATCCACCTATCAATTCACCCGTTTCTTTAATTTTAAGTAATACTACGGTTTGTTCAATGTTATAGCACATCTCCTCAAAAACTGCTCTTGAAAAGCCATCTTGAGATCCACAAAGGATCAATTCAAAATCATATGGAATATTATTTTCATTATTTTGATTAATCCAGCTAGAAATTAAAGGGCTCATTTTCAAATTTAATAATTTTTTTGTTCTTGGACCTCTTTGAAGAAGTAACTTTGGCTGCCACTTTTTAGTAAAATAATATCCATGAATTTCTTTGTATAATTTTTCATCAAAAGCCTTTTTATATGGAATGATTTTATTAAGAAAATCTTCTTTAGATATCTCACTGAATCTAACCAATGGAATAACATCTTCTAATAAATATCTTAATTCTTCAAAATCATCATTGCTCCACATTGAAATAATTTTTCCTAATGTTTGATTTTGTCCAATCCCATTGAATGACATAATTCCAAACATCAACCTCATCTAATTTTAATTTATCCTTTTTCAATATAGAAACAAGCATAGATTTTTCAATTGCTGCAATATCATTAGATTTTAAAATTGATGCTGGATTTTTACAAATTAATTTATTACAAAAATCTTGAAGTAAGGTGAAAAATTGATGTTTAGATGAAATATTATGAGTGTAAATTAATTTTTGATGAAGCCATTCATTTTTTTCATTGATTAAATAATTTTGTAAAATCATCAATTAATTCATCAAAGTTTAATTCATCACATGCTTCAATAAGTTCTAAGATTTCATCTGCAATCCAGGTTATCAAGATTAATAATCCCATTATACATATACCTTTTAAAAATAAATAAATAGAAAAAAATAGTGATTAGTAAATATTATTATTATTTAATAATTATAAAATCAATCTATTTAATTTAATTTTAATTTATTCCTACATTAAAAGTACTTCAAAAACTCTTGGAGAAATATTTTCTTTTTCAAACAAAATATTGCCATCATCAGACTTTTTAACCCAATTTTTAGATAAAGCTGTTCTAAAATACAAAGACCTTGCTTTTAAGATGGTGGAATGAGCTTTAAAAATTTTATCATCATCTTCCACTCCAACTTTAATTTCTGTATCATAATAATCTGAATTGTCCAACAAATTTGAAAAATCATTTACTAGCTTATTAATATATTTTAAAGGTGAAGCATTATTAATGTTAAGGTTTTTAAACAAGTATGTAATATTTTCCAAGGATGAAATATTAGACATTTCAAAGATATTTATCTTAAAAAAATAATAAAGAAACCAATAAATTGGCTTAGGGAAAGTTGTTATATACGAAATCTAGTTTTATTATTTAATACGTGAAATATTTAGTGCCACAGCATAATGTAGCATTTATAAGTTAATCTCAAAAAATAATTTTATCAAAATTAACGTCCACGACCTCCACCGCCACCAACACGTCCGCGAGAACCACGTCCACGCCCACGCCCACGACCAACATCAACAACTATATATATATATGTCAATTAAATGTCATTAACAAAAAAAAAAAAACAGAAAATTTAAGTAAATTACCCTCTTTCTTTTTGGCTTTAGCTTTTGGAGCATCATCAACCAGCAATGTATCTAACGGAAGAGAATCAGGTAAAATGAAATATCTAATAGTGTTGCCTCTAATACTTAAAGAGTCTAAATTAACCGGATCTTTATTTTTTACTGTCATTTTAACAGTTTTAAGGTGTATATTCATACTCATATCTACACCTAATTCACATAAATAAATGTGAATATATATATATATATGGAAGTATAAATATCAAACAATAACGATACTTTATTAATTAATATTACCTGTAATAGTTCCATGTACTATAGTACCATTCTTGAGTTCTATGGTAACAGTCTCATTATTTAATTTCATTAAAAATCTAAGGTAAAAAAAGAAATTATCATCGTCATCATTATCATCATTATTATTATCACCATCATTATGGTTAACTAACCTTACTAATTTCATATTATATAAAGATTGATCAAATAAAATAAAATAAAATTTTTGATAAACTTGATTTTTTTTATAAAAAAGTTTGAAATTTTGAAGTTACATCAAAAATAAATTTTTTTTAACAATAGTAAGGATCAACAAAATATCGTGTTTTTTACAAATTCTTTCTCCAACAAGATCGATTTGAAGTGGCTCCAAATACAATTAATTATAAAACCTTTGCATGTAACTTGCTACACCATTCACTGCTTGACTTCAAGTTGAAATGTATAATAATAAAGCTTGGTTCTCCCAGCTCAACTAATATGTTGATTGATTCTGGTATTTACTATCCTTCAAAAAGTGTTCGTTTTAATCAAAAAAAAAAAATAGTGAAAGGGACAAATTAATTAATTAAGCAAATAGAGACGACGTTTATTATTGACTTGTTAACTTGAGAGAAATAAATATACAAATATATATAATATATATATGGTACACAATGCCATAGAATCATTTCACGATCAAGAATTTAAAATTTAAAATTTAATAGTTGCAATATTTATTGATTTTCGATTATTACAAGATATACAACATATATATTAATATTAAGAATCAAAATAATCTTCATCGTAATCATAATCTGAATCATAATCCGTATCATAATCATCATAATCATCATAATCATAATCATCATCCCCACCTTGTCTCTTTTTTAATAACTTAATTCTTCTATTAGCAGGTGCTGACCTTTTTGTTAACAATGTTAAGATTGCTCCACCGACATCACCATAACCAACAAATCTTTTTTGGTTGCTGTTCTTCATCATCAATTGCGATCGTTGTTGTGGTGATGGTGAAGCAGAAGAAGAAATTACAAAAAAAAAGATTATTAACAGAATCAGGTAAATATTTTTTCTAATTGATTTATTATTACTAATATTGCTGTTGATGTTGTAGTTGTTGATTCTATTGTTATTGTTGTTATAGTATTCGTCGTAGGACATTTGTTTGATATTTGATTAGTTGGTTGGATTGATTGGTTTTTTATTCTATAGATATTTTTCAGTTTTATTTATTTTCTTGATTGTTAGGATTTCGATTTCCAACATTTTTAAATATCTTTTTTTTTTAATATATTAAATTAAATAACTTTAATAAAATGACAAAATTAAAAGATTTAATTAAAAGATAAATTCGATCCGACAATCTTCTGTATGACGAAAATTGATACACAAAAAATTTGTTGTCAAAAAAAACTGTTTTACTATAACTAATTAAACATATTTCATTTTCTTTGATTCCTTCTCAAATATGGATCACAATGCGAAAGGTAACATTATAGAGAATGTATCACTTTTCGATCTAATCATGTCTATTAACGACTAGCGCTGTCATTCTGTTATTTCAGATACCATAAAAAACCTATTAATTTGAAGGCTACTTCATACACAACTTCACCTAAGGCCAAGAGGCTCATTCCACGACTTCAGCTAGGGATCTAGCTTTATCCAAGATTTGATTTTTGAGGAGCTGATGTTGTATAACGTTGAAAAGATTTGTAACAGGTAAAAAATATAACAACAAAAAACATAGAACATCAAAAAAAAAATTTTCACTTTATTATATATGTTAATTATCAAACTAAATGTTAATCCAAATATAATTTCATTAAGGTGATTTAGAAATGGAATAATAATGAAAGGAATTGCCCCTCTTAAGGTACGAAAATGTTTTGATAATACATAATATTTTCCCATATTTTCTTTTTTACTTTCTATTTTGTCTAGATATCTATAAAAATTAGAAGAATATGTTGATTCGAAACTCCATGTATAAAATTCATAAATAAAACTTAATGCTAAAGCATTCATCTATTTATCAAAAACAATGGGAATTAATTTGTTTAATGTCAGACAAAGAACCTACAACAGAAGATCCATATTTCTGCTTGATAAGATCTATTTTATCTATTAGGGCAAAAGACAAAATATCCATTCCTTGTGTTGGAAAATTATTAAATTTAGCTCCTAATGTTGAATCTATGTTAAAATTAAAAAAAGAAGAAATAACAAATATGATTTATCCAATAGGATTAAGTAAAATTAAAACAAATAGAATTATCGAAACAAGCAAAACTTTAATAAGTAAATATAAAGGTGTTGTTCCCAGCGACGTAAACTTATTAATGAATTTTCCAGGAGTTGGTTTAAAAGTTGCTTCTGTTGTCAGACATTTTGCTTTCAATATTCCTGATTTTCCAGTTGACACTTATTAAACAAAATTTGATGGGTTTGAAAATATATTTTTTAAATAATAATAATAGTATTATATGATTGCACAATCATAATCAATAGATATCAATTATGAAAAGAACAACAATAAAACAAATTATATAAAAATATACAACGTTTGATTTTTGGAAAATTTTACTGAGAAATAAACAGAAAAAATTTTTTTTATGAATATATGAATGAATATATATAATGTATGAATACGTGAGAAATAATTGAACTATTCACAATATATTAATTAGTGAGAAAGAAAAGACATTTGCTATTCTAAGATTATTCTTCTTCATCTTCAGATTCATCACAAACTTCATAATAAGATGGATAAACATTTGTTACATTATCATAATACCACCACCCATTTGACAATTGATGAAAATCAGCTATTACAGTCATTCCAACCATTGCATATTGCAAAGTCTCAAAATCAATATGAACATCAAATGTTTCTACGATTGGTTCTTCGCATGTTCTAACTGTCATTCTGTAAAGTTTTATTCCATCATCGGTTTTGTTATCTTTATCATCATCTAAAGAATCATTGGTTTTTGGTGCTGTTTTAGTATTGTTGACATCATTAGACGCAGATGATGATGAATCGTTCTTATGATCTTTCTCGTCATCTTTCTTATTTTTATTAATTGGATTATCACCTTTATTATCTTTGTCATCTTCATTGATTGCATTATCATCTTTCTTATCTTTATTATCATCTTTCATATCAACTTTCATATCAACCTTCTTATCACCATTCTCTTCAATTTTCACGTCATCGACTTTTTCATCAACTTTCGCATCGTTGACTTTCTCGTCAACTTCCTTTTTAACTTTCTCATCAACTTCCATATCAACTTTCTTGTCAATTTTCTTCTTATTTTTCTCATCAACTTTCATATCATCATTCTCTTCGATTTTCACATCATCAACTTTCTCATCAACTTTCTTTTCAACTTTCTCATCAACTTTCTTTTCATCATTCTCTTCAATTTTCATATCATCATCTGTCTTTTCAACATTCTTATCAACTTTATCTTCATTTTTCTCATCATTCTTCTCATCATTCTTCTCATCATTTTTAAATTATTTAGTTAGACATAATGTGTGCCCAGAATACTCTGAGGATATATCAAGGGCAATGGAATTTACTGAACGTGCTAAAATAGAGTTGCCAAATTGTAAAAGTCTAGCATTGACCGCTTTTCACAAATTTAATAAGGCATGTTC